AGGCTCTGCAACAAAAAAGGGGCCGCCCTTTGAATGAAAATTCCCACATTAATTGACAGCAAAAGATCAAAAAGTGTGTGTGTAAGGGGGGAGGGGTGCTGTTTACTATGGACATGTTTATAAAGTACGTTTTTATGCGCGATGAATTACAAGCACCAAGGTTTTTGTGTATAACTCTCCGTGGTCTGTAAACATTTTCCCCCGGAGATCTATACAGTTTTATACATGTAGAGTAGTTGTGAACACGTTCATCTGAAGCTGTTGAATTCAATTGATTTTTTTTTTATTTCAAAGTACTATACATAAAAAAGTATCTTCTTTTTTTTTTTATAACTAACTGCTGTTTTCAGCGATTTTCAATTTTAATTTTAATCCATGTGATACCGTTTGCTCATTTTGCACAACGAAGTCTTTCTGACTCAAAAATCTTTTTACTCTTTTATCTTTCGTTTGGCTGAAATATCCTCAAAATAGTTTTCAAACATATCGATTCTTACAAGAACAAGAAAGACATATAGAGAGGCCATATGCGTTTTCACAAACCATGAAACTGAAGGGAGCTCAAACCCAGGAAATATAAATACATCTAGAAGGGTTCAATGACGAGCAAATAATGACAGCAACCAAAAAAATTCTGATGAGAAATTTTGTATACTTGGATTATTGATACTATTTAAAATGTGTGGCAGGAGGAGGGGGGGGGGGGTGCCGCCTTTGACTCTGCTAGTGGAAGCTAATTATAAGGTTAACTCAATTTTACATCTAAATATATTTAAAATTCATGAGCTTCTTTGCCCTCTGCATCCCCACCAGGGCTTCGCCCTAGACCCACTTTTGGTCTCAAAGAGGTCCCAGACCCCCCTCCCCCAAGACAGAAATTCCTAGGTCCGTCCTTAGTTGTGTAAAAACTCCTGGCACTTACAAATTCATGAAATCCAGTGGCGGATCCAGGAATTTCATAACGGGGAGGGGGGGCGCAGTAGAAGGCAGGGGGTCTGGGGGCTGGATTGAAGCCCCCCCCCCCAGTTGGTCTAGGGCAAAGCCCTGGTGGGGGTATGGGGGAAGCCCTCGGAAGCTGACGAATTCTTACAAATAAGAAATGTTTTTTCCTTGATTTTAGGATAATGGACATATAAGTTCTACATACAAAAAATTCAAACGGGGGGGGGGGGGGGGGCTGCGCCCGGCGCGCCGGCCCTGGATCCGCCTTTGAAATCTTAATATTTTCAGACTCACTTAATGGTAACCTAACAACAAAACTTTATGATAAACGTGATGACTGCAAACTTTATTTCTATTGTCAACTTCCCTTATAAACGTATGTAGCAATATAGCATTATCACCTGCATATTGAGTTTATGTCTGTCTCCCAGGTGATTCCATACGCAAGAGCATGCTCTACCTAGGCAGGGATAGACATTAACTTTCAGATTTACTTGCCCTTCGGGCAAGTGATCTCAAACTTTGACTTGTCCGAACGCAAAACTTGGTTGCCCAAAATAAGGAAAGAACTTCAGAAGAAATTTTTTTATTACTGTAAATATTATGACGAAAAAATGTGACCAAATACACTACCGTCAATTTCGTAAGGTGAGGTACCTGAAAAAATTTCGATGCTGCGTTTGTACATAAATGTATACCACTGTCCTTGTAAATTTAACCTGTTAGCACATACTGCCATATAGCAATAACCCTCCGTTTTAATAAAATTCATATTTGTAAAAATTATTTTCGGTAGGATTCTTTTGTGAATCGTGATTTTCTGAGATAACTGTGAAACAACGCTGAAGAAAGATAGTTGCTACGTAACACACATCGATCTTTACCTTGATCAGGATACATCGTGTTAAACTGTACTTATATTCTGTAAGTGAATAAATAATCTAATTTCCAAATAAGAAGTTAACAAAAATGTTAGACGAACAGCATATTTACCAGGGGAAAAGAACGGAATAACGAATCCGATTTTCAAATGAAAGGTATAATCCAGAAATGCTGACAAGGAATTCCGAATACAAAAACAATGTCAGTCAGGTACCTGGCGGAAATCAAGTCTTCAATTTATTGTCTTTTATATAAATTAATGTAAACTAAATAAATATGTACATTTCTATGAGGAAAAAATCACTTGCCCGATCGGACAAGTACGTCGCAAGATTCACTTGCCCGAACTGAGAATTTACTTGTCCCGGGCAATCGGACAACCGTTAATGTCGATCCCTGCTAGGAACAATTTGTAAAACAGGGCAAGCTATTGACAAATAGAAAGACATAATAAGAAACAGAAGAATATCAATAGGTCTTTCCACCTTTCTGTGGAAAGACCTGATAACTAGTAAACTAATTGATGAAACAAGAATATCAAAAGTCTCGATTAAAGTCAACATTTTTGCAAATTCTATGGTCGATACAATGACCTTGTCAGCAAATACAAATCTATCGCAAGTTGAATTTTGACTGACGATTTTTTATACAATTTTCTCACTGGATTCTTTAGGATTTTTCTGTTTTTCCTGATCATGACAAGGAGCACACAGCGCACAGGGAATGGTTACTTTTCCATGGCACCTGATCCCACCTCTGCTGTTTTTAGAGGCGCAATGTTGGGCTAATATATCGTAATATATATTTGTGTATTCGTAGGGCTAACTATCAATTCCCCAGACTCTCGTTCTCGAGACTTTGCACGTTTCTGGGGAAAGCGAGACTACATCAATTATATACTAGTTCAACATAATCAATCCCTGTATTTTTTACTATTTCCATGATTACAACACATTAAATTTAATCAATCTTGGTAAATCAACTTGTTCCTGGTAGAAATTCAATGTTTAATACTTTTCAGTTTACTTTCAATAAATTATCTTTTTTCACAATCGACAGAGGGAAAATGAAGATAGATCAGTGTTTTTTTCAAGTACATGTATATTCCACATCACTATAATCAAGCCCAAACTCCTCTAAAAATCCATCATATCACATTTGAATGATCACCCACTCCTTTTTCAATTCCTGCATGTCCGTGTGATTGCTGTCTCTCACACATGTAAATAATTAAGTCCCTTTACGGGACTCTTTTAAATGGTCTTATGGCATATAGGATTTTTTCCTCTCCATCAGTTCCTCTATTATGTTAAAAATACCATATCGCTATTTAAATCTCCTCAAAAATGAATTCCTTAATGATAACTTAAACAGACTTCTAGTACATGTAAAAATACATGCGGATTGGTTGAAATAATTTTTTTAATAACTTGTTAGATCTACACCTTTTCATTATAAGTAAGTTTATACATAGCATAAGATTCTATAAATCACGCATATACATTAAAAGCCTTAAACATTCCATTTTCTCTTTCTGGGTCAACGATGGCCCAATGAAATGCTCCGAACTTACATGCACATCGTTCTTCAGTTCTAGCATGACTGTTGCATGGGCCAACACTGGACAAAACAAAAACAAACAAAATAAATAAAAATGAATAACAAACAAACAAACAAACAAACAAAGAAATACAAGTGCTAACACTGGACCAACGTTGGTTCAATGTACTGTTCGTTAACAGTGGTTAAGGGTCCACCACAAACAACGGTTGGTGTAACCTCCCCCCCCCCCCCCCCCCCGTTCTGAGATTTTTTTTTGACACGGTAACTTAGCAAATATACATGAATTCCTAGCCTGTCATACCAATACTTCGTTATTTGACATCATTTTCCTTTTTTGTTAGCTTTAGAGATTGCCCCTATACGGTATATAAAAATTCTATCCACAGACACCGGTTTCTCAGAAAAGGGGGGGGGGTACAGCAACCGTTCGTCAGGTGCTTTTGTTCTATTAGGGTGCTTGTATTTGTTCATTTGCATTCATAATGACCTGTTATTTAATTTAATAATAAAAAGAGTTTAATACCCAATTCTTCTTTTCTGAAATTCTTTGTTCAAAGAATAAACACGGCGGCTCTATGTTTAGTGTTTGCAATTAGTCACACCCGCTTCTTTCAAAATGAAAGTAACCAAGGTATTTTTTTTTTATATTTTAGTCACATTCCTATCGAATCCAGTTGTTTTTTTTAAGTGTTTTTATTTGTAACATGTTTTCATGTATTTTATGTTAATTACCTGCATTTAATAGTTTGTTGAGTTTTGATGCTTGTTTTATTTTATTTACCATACATAATCGGCATAATTGGGTAAATTGCTGCACCATAGGGCATAGTTATTTCGTTCACAGACAATTTCACTCCGAATCAAACGGACAAAAAACGTGAATTTATCCAGAAGAAATCAGATAATATTTTCTGAACTTAATCTAAATTATCAGTAGCCTATTACTATTTATTTTTAGTGTTATTTGTGAATGTGTAAAGCTGAAATACAGTTTAGATACAAACAGAATTCTCTTGGAATAGTGCGTACAGAAATTTAGATCACTTTTACATGTGCCTTTTGGCTTCATTTTTATTGTACTTTCATAGAATTGAATGATAGATGAGTTTACTATAACATTGCGTATCATATATCCTCTTACACATGTTAAAATATTCTGTGTAAGTTCATGATGCTATAAAAGATCCGGGGCTGAATGTGTTAGTGTGCGAAACACTCCACCAGCATGGGTGCTCATTTCCAAGAAATGGATCGAGGCAGCTGATTCTTGGAAATTGAAAGGATTGTCGTTTTACAATTACAATCGTGGAAGTTTAATTGAAATAAGGTCAACATATTTCAACTTCATCCTAGGCATCTTCTGACCAGACGTCAACTGTTCTGCAATTGTTGTAAGTGGTAGTTCGTATGAAAGATAAAAATTGTAGAATCTAGGTCTACACGAATAAACAAACATAACAAACCTTGTATACATTGATGACATATTGATCCAGGGGGTTTTAGTTTTTCCGAGTAATTTTACAGGATGTGCGTTTGCAAAGTGGGTGGGAACTTGTTAAAATAACATATCATGTGCTCATCTGAGCAATGAGCCATAGGCAGATATTATAATATAGGAATCCCCCTATTATCTTGACATGGTTTAGATAGTTTAGTATTAAGGGACGACACCTTTAGTCTTTCTTCATTACAGTGATATGACGATAAAGCGTGCAGTTGACACTGTGGTCTGTGACGATCAAGGTCTATGAGGGTTTGAAGCCTCAATCAATCACTAGTATAGAAACACCTCCATAGGAAACTCTATTTTATGGAACGGAAGATCTAACAAGGCATTGTTTAGAAACTGGTTCAAGTGTTATATTGAAGCATCCCAGGAAACAAATGTTTCCTGTATTTTGATATTGCATAAACGTGGTATCGAGGAATTTCCAAGCAGTTGCAGTGTTTACTGCTGTTGCATTGTTTTCATATGATAAGGACATAATTTGTAGTGATTTAGTTTTGGTGTTATTGTTTGAACTATGGAGGGTAGTTTTACTACTCTTCAATCTCCTCCTTGCTCTACTAGCATGTACAGTAATGGACAGCCAGTGTGTGAAATGTTATATAGCCAGGTCAAGGTAGAACCGGACACTCACTATCCATCTAATGGCTACAGTAGGCAGGCCATGAGACCAGACCATTTCTCAGACAGTTGCAGACAGAATCGCTATAATGGGCATAATCTTCGTATGGATTGCATGAGGCAGGACAGTTCATCTAACTTTTACTCAGATACCCAGAGCTCATGCTCCAAAATGTCCCCCCACTGTGGTGGCAGCCCCCCTGGCTATTCCTCTTATCCTGTTTATAATAACAATTCTATGCAAAGTCCTCTGTCATGTGCACTTGGAATGCAAAGACCAAGAAAGGTAGGGTGACAGCATTTTCTTTGGTGAATATAATGATTTCATATTTAGTTAATATACTTTGTAATTTACGTACACTACAGTAGACTTAATGTAAGTTTGCACTTTGAAAAAAAAAATAATGTAAATTATTTTTGTTTTTTGTTCCAACTTTTAAAAAAAAATTTTCCTATAAAATGTTGTGGTGGGTGTCAATTCATCGTTTAAGTATTTTTTTTTATAGTTAAGTGTGAGGAGATAACTGGTAGAGCATCTCTGATCAAGCAGGTGTTATCTGTATCTCTTGGGAATTGGGCAAAGGAATCAGCCTCTTAATTGCTTGTGTTGGATTAAATAGTTCTTGCATGTCTATATTTTAGACTTCATGACATGTTTTGGTTTTATCATTATAATATCATTTGTTTGACTGGGAAGAAAACTTTGTCGATAATACTGGAAATAAACTTAATACTAAATTAGGCTGTAAGGACATCTGTGTACAAGTGACGTTGATTTATTAATAACATTTGGAAATGTCACGACTGAAGGTGACACAGCTATTGAGGAGTTTCCTGTCTTGTTCTCTTTCTTCAAAGTACGCTGTTATTGTTGTAAACTTTCTTGTTTACAATTTTCTGAAAACTGATCCTTCAAACATAAATTTAAGATTTCTACAGATCTGCTTTCAAAGTATGTTTAAAACAATTAAGTTACCAGTAAATTATTTTTTTTTTGGAGTATGAAACTTTGAAGTTAAGTAACAAAAATCAAAGTTCAAGTACATTGTAATAAGAATTATTAGTCTGTGATGTTGGTAAATATCTTGAAAATGAATGAGTTGTTTTGCTTGTTTGTTTGTCAGTAATTAAGTACTAGGTGAAAAGGATATTCTGTTTCTGGTGCCTCTTAACCCCCAAAGTAAACCCAGAGGTGACCTTATTATCAAGGTCAAAGAAGATAGGTCAAGGCCAGAACAATATAGGGCTGTGTTCAAGATCCTAGCAGATAGCCTTTGCCATAGCTGATAGGCTAGATATCTAGGTCGTATTGAACATCTGTATGAATTAACACTTGTTATGGCTAGGCTAGCTTTTCATTCAAGATCATAGCAGCTATGTAGACTCTATGATCTTAAGCAGCCCAGCTATGTAGATGCTATGCCTCTTAAGCAGTATTGTGAATAAATTTGACCAGAAATTTAACATTTAAAACCTAGTATGATAGGAAGTGATACAAACTTGAAGAAATATTATTCAGATAACATCTAAAAAGGATACATGCAGTACTCATGAACCACATGCTTTTGAATACAAAATGATTTTTTGAAAATTGATGATCTAATGGTGGTTGAGTAGAATCTCCTTGTAAATTATTCAGCTACAGTTCTTTTATAGCCCTATAATTGTTAACTTATTGATGTTTGGTCCTTAAATGTAAATGAAGATAAAATCTATAGTCATTTTTACTTCACTAACTTTTGTTCGATATTTTTTCAATAAAATCTGGTGAATTGAACATTTTAAATTGGTGTGACAAAAAAATGATACCGTCAGATGTTACCTGTGATGCATTGTTTGCTCATATTGTCATCTAAACAGTGATCAGGAAAGATTCTCTTGCATAAGAAATGTTAAGTTATTGTTTCACAAGTTCAAATGAATACATGTATTTAAAAGCAAATTTACTTCAGTCATCAGATTGTAAATTTGTGTTATGTTAATTAGAAGTGTTAATTTTTTTCATTCACTCGTATACACTGTAACAAGAGGGAAGAGTAATGGGGATATTGACATATTTGTCTGATTAAGTCTGTGACTGTATAAATTACAGAAATTTATGTACTATTTAATACGTGGCCTCATTGTGTTAATGCTGTGCTGGATGACAGCTTTTTTTTTGGTTGGAGACATTTTTTGGAAAGAAATATATGTTCTATGATATTAATTTAGAATGAGTGTTACCTGAAGCAGACATAAAGGTATAAAGGTCATACTAGCAGCTGCTAATTTTTGGCATGAGCTATTTATAATAAGAGAAGGTTTTTAACATAAATTAATTTTTAAAGCGACTTGAGCGTAGATTACTAGTGTCTGAATGTGAATTTGACAAAGCTGAAAATCTTAAAGCTCTATATGGCATTTTTAAGCTTAAAAAAATACGAAATTGAGTATAGATATACATGATATATGTTATATATGTTAAAATTAAAATTTTCACCAATTTTGAAATTTTCTCTTTGTTCTTCCATCATGTCCATATTTGCCTATCTCTTCCTTGCTCTTCTGTCTAAATCTGTTAAATTGCTTGTGTTCGCTGATCTGCTTGTTCTCATTGTTGTATTATTGAATAATGTAAATTATACTGGTAGTGTCACACGATCAAATTAAGGTGAAGTTATTCAAATCTTTATTATTTTTGTGGAGTCAGTAAATAAATTGGTTAATGTGTTAAATTTTTTATGTCTTTTGAATGCGATTGATATAATTGTGAAATTTACAGAAAAGTCCTATCTTTATATAAAGTAATAAAACAAATAAAAAGATCTTATTACTTTTAGTTATCTGAACTTATCAAAAATATGCCATGTAGCTTTAAAATTTATTTAACATTTTTTCAAATGCAAAGGAAACACATCACATCATATACACTTTATAATTCTGCAATTATATCCTGATAGTTAATTGATCTTTCCGGTCAAAGATGTTTAAGGAGGGCCTGGGAGTAATATGGTTGACAGGCAGATTCATTCGGCAGTGGACAGGTAGCTCACTGGGAGAGCACTTGTTTAGAGTTCAGTTGGCTTGGAATCAGATTTGAATCTTAGTCTGGTCAATTGCATTTCCTCCCTGTTATCTAAGAAAGGCTCTCAGGTCATATTTGTTCAAGGAACTAGCTGTGATATTTTCATATCTGTATTAATACATGTTGACATTGTAGTGATTTTACAAATTTTTGTGATGAAAAAAATTTGTAACATTACATGTTTTATTTTAATTTTGTCATGGGAATATATACATGTATGTCTATAAATGAAGTTATCTGAGTGATCAAACGGACATGGAGAATATTCACCATGTTTACTGTCATCTTCGGTAGCCAAGGGTAACATTATTTGCTCCTCCTCTCTCTTCAAAATTTTTTGTTCACATTCTTTTGCTACACGAGGTTAGACAAGTTTTAATTGGTGGTGCCAACTCTGGCTGGAACCTTTGAAATGCATAATTCTGCATTCAACAAAAGTTGACTCAATCTGCCAAGGGTGAAAAGAGAAGAAGAGCGGATTGCTACTCTTGGCTAGCAAAGATGGTTCACTGTGTGATGTTTAATTATCTGTTTATCTTCCAAGACCAGACCTGTTTAAGTAGGTTGGACATTATACTGGTAATAGCGTGAATGATGGATGTACAATCTGATCACGATATCTAGGGAAAATTAAATTCCCTACTCTTATCCACTCTTCAGTACCCTTTACCTGGCAGGTGATTTCAAAGCAATTAGGCTAATATTTTACGCAGTACAAAATATATCTAACCAAATAACTTTAAAAGGTGATATTTAAATTCTGTGCCACTTTCATTATATTAAAATAACCATCTAGTTTTGGGAGTTTTGGCAATATACATACATTGGCACTCTCTACCAGTGGCTCTTACATTCACCTCTGTCATTGGCTAATATCACTATGACTAGTGCAATATAATAAATTTATTATAAGTCATTATAATTTTAAAAATTGTTAACACACCTGAGCTGAAAGCTCAAGTGAGCTTTTCTGATCACCCATTGTCCGTTCTCCGTCCGTCTGTTAAATGTTCACATTTTCAACTTCTTCTCAAGAACCACTGGACCAACTTTAACCAAAGTTGGAACAAAGCATCCTTGGGTGAAGGGGAGTTTAAATTATTAAAACGAAGGGCCAAGCCTCCTTACAAGGGGAGATAATCAAGAAAAGAAAAAAATAAGGTGGGCTCATTAAAAAATCTTCTTCTCAACAATGCTCAAAAAGCACGGGGCCAGAAAAGCTGAAACTTATGTGAAAGCTTCCTGGGGTGAAGTAGATTCTAAATTGTTCATATCAAAGTTTTATGTTTAGGAAAAATTCTTTAAAAATCTTCCTCTCAAGAACCACAGGGCCAGAAAAATGAAACTTATATGGAAGCTTCCTGAGGTAGTGTAGTGCACTAGATTCTAATTTGTTCAAATTATAGCCCCCTGGGGAAGAGTGGGTGGCACATTAGGGAATCAAATTTTTACATTGAAATATATAGGAAAAATCTTTAAAAATTTTCTTCTCAAGAACCATGAGGCCAGAAAAGCTGAAACTTATATGGAAGCTTCCTGAAGTAGTGTAGATTCTAAATTGTCCAAATCATGACCCCAAGGGGTAGGATGGGGCCACAATAAGTATTACAAGGGGGGGAAATCTTGTGTAGAACAACAGGGCCAAAGTTACTCAGGTGAGTATTGTGGCCCATGGTCCTCTTGTTTTAATACTTGTCTTGTAAGGTAGCTAGAATATACTCAGCGTGTGTAGAGCTATTGCTTTAACTTGGAAGAATCCTTTGAATATCATTTTTTTAATCTTTCAAAAAATCTTGACATGAGACCACCATTTGCAGAGGTGTATGAGAGGGAAACAAAATTTCTGTGTAGGAGATAGATACATTGGAAGACACGGTAATTTGCAGAATAGGTTAATCAAAACTGTACCCAAAATAGTTGTGCAACTTCACATACATATAGTATGTATGAGCTGGTAAACACTTTCAGGTACATGCATACACAGATTTAGAGGGGGGGTCAGGGAGGGGGGTTCCGGAACCCCTGGAATTTGCAGAGTTATTAAAGGTACAGGTAACTCTTGATACCTCGATGTCCGCGGGACCGAGGAAAAACTTCGAGAGATCAAGAGTTCGAGAGATCAAGAGTCTGGAATTTTCCCGGTTTGTTGACAAGTTTTAAAATTAGTCTTACTGGATGTAATGATTTTCACGCAGTGCTAACCTTTTACACGTGGTTTTTAT